TTACGAGAGCGGAATGTGGAATCAGCGAACTGTTCGAATTCCGGCCTGGTAAGTTGCCAATCATTTTTTGCAAAAATGCCCTTGAGAAATACATGATTTCTTCTCTCTCCAGTTGTATCGCTCATTAGATTGTACTATTTTGCTTTCGGTGGCAACCTATCTAAGAAAAGGAAAAGATCTGATTTTCAAGCAGTGGAAAAAACGACTCACTTTCTCATAGCAATTACCTGAAAGTTAAAAAAAATAATCTCCGGGTAATTATAATCACTTACATCTTGAACGGACAAAGCAATAAGAAAAAAATTTTAACGTACGTCCTTGTATATGCGCCGGTAACACACACGGACATATGGAAAAAACATGGTATCTCTGATGTTTTGTTCAAAAAGCATTCGATCATGAATCTCCGGAGATTCTGTTTGTTTTATTTTCTGTGAATTATTTACACTAGTTATATTCCGAATTTGTTGTTGCTATTGTTGTGACCAAGTAAATGGTTAAAGAAATAACGTAACAAGTGTTACACATATATATTAAACAGTAATTATTTTAAGACATTTTTATGCTTATACATTCTTTTTAAAGATGGTGTTTATCAGTCCACCCACGGGGATCGAATGTGGCACAAGGCCTTTTTAATGTGGGTATCTCTGAGCCCGTAGGCCCAACCAAAAATAAATAACCATCCAAACCTGCCGAGGCGGGCCAGTTCCGTCAACCTCCCCCAACGAAACCCTACCCTTCGGCGGAGCTTCGTCTGGGTTCCTCTCTGCAAGCAGAGTTCGACAGACACCCGACCCGGCAGCTCACAAAGCGCAGATACTACACTTTGATCCTAGCCAGGGCCGAGCGGGTATTCTTTTTCAAGATGGTGTTTACAATCCACCCACGGGGATCGAAACGTTCTCTTTTTAATGTGGGTATGTCTGAGCCCGTAGGCCCATTCAAAATAAAACCCATCTAAACCCGTCCAAGTTCGCTAGTTCGGTTAATTCCCCGAACGAAACCCCAAACGGAGCTTTGTCCAAAAGCAAAGAGTTTTACAGACACCTTCTACCCGGCAGCTCACAAAGCGCAGATACTACACTTTGATCCTAGCCACCGGGCCGGCGGGTATTCTTTTTATAGATACAAATATTTAAAGTAAATGTTGTTTATAATAAAACAGTTTTGAATGTCCGAGAAATTTTCACAGAAAATATTCGTCCTCCGACATTCAGGCCGGTAAATGTTGTTTAATACTGTTTATTATAAACAGATACTTTACTTAAATATTTGTATTTATAAAAAGAACGTATAAACATAAAAATGTCTTAAAATAATTGTCGGACTTTGTCCATTTCATAGTAAACAGTAAGTACAACAGAAGAGTATTACACGACTAGTGAGTGTGTGACCCAGCGTTCAATCTATTCGAAGGGGGAAGAGTCCAACATAGACTCTTTAGAGGAAGGACACCAGAACAGTTATCACGTCGTTTCGGCTTTTGTGTTATATGGCCTTCCTCGGGTGTGTAAAGACTGCAAATTATTTCCACAGAAACTGCAATAATTGTGTGGAACCCAATAACACTGTTGGATAGACGATGTTTTCAGCTACAAAAAAAAACCACTAGTTTTCCAGGTAGTCGAAACTGCTGAAATGTATTAACAATTGTTTAACTGTGATCATATGCATTGTTTGGACTCCAGAAACATTCAGCAGATACCACTGAACATCAATTTCTGCAATACTTTCCACCCGGAATAATTTAATGATGCACCTCCACAGTGTAGGGATTTCATGTCGGATACCATTTTACCAGAGTGCCTTTCAAATGGCTGATTTTTTTTTACGGCTTTTAAAGCCAGAAAATATTTTTAGATTGTAAGAATAGTTTTAGATATAATAAAATTTACTGATAAAAGTCCTACTAAATAACCCATTAGCTGCTGGTGGTGGGATATAGGTTTATACCTTTTCACCAGGGTATTTACAAATACCATTGAATAGAATGAAAATGCCAGGAAGGGGATCCCTGATCTCCGATTTCCAATGCCAAACCGATATCCATTACACCAAGCGCATATTCTAGCTTACAGCAGCTGGTACTCCCAACAGTCACCCTTCTTGATATTGACCACGCTCGACGTTCCTTACCTCCGGTAATCCTAGGATAACCGGTGTGTCAATGTGATTAGCCGTACCCTCCCCCTTTCAGCTGATGATTTTAAGCTGGCAAAGAAGAGATGGAAAGGTACCATTCCACTAACAATAGCCTCTGACGTCGGTAATCAACATAAAATAGCATGTCAGACCAGCACACCAACGTCATATCACAATGTATATTCGTATGCTTTTAATAAAATCCTTTTGAATTTTTTAAAGCGTTAGTTGAATTTGCATAAATAATTTACAGGTGTCTTCATTCAAAATAACCGAGAATTATGAAGAGAGCGTATCAAAATAACAGAAGACTCGGCAGAGGAAATAAAGAAGAGGTTTATTAAATACTCACATAAAACGGAAAAAATTGAGTAAATCAAATATTACTCAAATCATACTCTAATGTGGCTACTTGCCATATTTATAAGTTGGAGCAGATGTCACAGAAGTAGGGCAGTGTAGAAAGTACGCTGAGTCCTATTCAACAACATTAATAAAATTGAATAGCTTGTTTTAATTTTTTTTTCATGAACATTTTATTCTCTTCTCAAATAATTTAATCCAAAATGTTGCGTTATAAGAGGAATTTTAAGATTCCCTTGTGGCCGAATAAGCATTTATTTTCAATCTTCTTGACGTTAAACGTTACACCACTTGCTCCTATGACTTTCTATTCTTTCGTTGGATGCTTAATTTCTTATACAAATATCTCAGCAATTGTGCGTACGTTCAGAGTTTACCGAATTTGGGAAACGTTTGAAAAAAGGAGTTCCCTTCAGCAATTGCTATCTTTTCAATTGATATATCACTTTATCGCGTTTACTTCAATCATAAAAGAAGAAAAATGTTTTCAACAAAATTCCCAAATAGCGATTCATTTACGTTGTTCTGTATTTTTTATCCAGATTCTTTTTACCGTTTTTCTCCCTTTAATGGATTCTCTACAGCATTTATTTCTCAACTGCTGACATAAGATGGCGTCTTTGTTGCCGAGATTATGCGAGAGTTTCGCGAGGCAGTTATCTGGAGGGTCTTAATGATTCGACGCTTAAAGCAAAGGATTGGCAATTTAAACGTTTGTGTTTATTTTTTCTTTTTATTATTTTGCCTGAGCATTTGGATGCAACTCTTCCACATTCGGATTATATTTTGGCTTCTTTGAAAAGGAGGTTAAACAGTCAATAGCTACGAGTCAAAGGGCTAAACACTTGGAGATCAAGTCATTTTCAAACGGACAAAAGAGATAGATATCTTGATTTTCTTTTTATAGAGAATCACTAACATAAAATACGGGCAATAAAACATTTCGGATTTTCCAAAGATGTTAGTTTAATCTCGAAGGTTAAGAACTGGATTTTTGGATCTAAATCAATATATACACAAGATGTCTTCACATTTGCACAGATAGAAATATGTGTTTGCTTTCTAAAAGATCTACCTCGGTCTATCACGAAATCACGTATCTACGTGAACCCAACGTCGGACAAGCTGTAAGACATTTGTCACTGAATTTTAATCAGTATTATTGGTTAGGGAATTATAACACTATGTTGAAACTTGACTAATGCATGTAATAATAATGCAACACAAAAGGTACTTAGAACAAAATGTATTGAAACAAGAAAGTGTACACAATATTTACATATAGTCTTTTGTATATTCCTGGTAAGACCGTTCCTGGAGAATGTGTTGACTGAGTTGCAGTCGGACAGAGTCTCTGGTTGAATCTCTTGATTCCTCCTTCTCTTCCCGGTACCAACCATATTTATATGGTCGGTACTCCACTATGCAAATTAGGTGGATCCTACCACAACACACTGTAACTGTAAATATAATTTTGCAAAGACTAACATTGTATTTAAAATCTGAGATTACATTAATTCCTTGTTTTCTAAAATATGTAGCTCACCATTTTATGCAAAACAGAACCATTTATTAAAATTCATTTGTACTATCATTTTTGATCATTGGAATCCTCTTTGCAATTGTTGCTAGCGTCTTCGACATAGACCAGAGGAAACGCAGCTTTCAGATTATTTTTCTCCTGACACGCTGATTCAATTGCTGATAACCTGATGTGCCGTAACTTGCAATTCTCGCTCTCCTTTGGGTCTGTGGTGGGAACTTTGAACAGCACCAATTACGTCGTTCAACCCGTGCTGATGCTATTCCTGGAACCGGAAAGTGATATAACGATAATACCCACGCATAGTATCTCCCTACGTTCGAAACATATCCCTGGCCGACACGATCTTCACACGGGTTCCCTATTGACCATGTATGAAACAAGATGGCAAGATGTTTAACGCTCAGCTAGTATGTTTTGGCAGTTTGTAGTATGGCGTGCAAATTTGAAAGTAGCGTGGAATTTTGCAGGTGATATATGCCATCTGTCCGATCGTAAATAATAATTTATTAGTCGCGGTTTCAAAAGTAAAATCTATCGTGACTTCCACGCGGTTGAATCTATTTACGAGGTCTGATAATATTATGGCATGTGGATATGTTATTAGAATATCATCTCTGCACTTAAATAATAAGAATATGGGCGGAATTAATTTCTGGAAGGACCGCCTTCTAAATAATAAGATTGGTTAAAAATTAAATAAGATATATATATATATATATATATATATATATATATATATATATATATGAAAATATTTTAAAATCTCCAATATCTATATATATGCATCCAACCAAAAACAAATCAATAAAAATTATAATGAAAAAAGATAATAATAATAATAATTGTTAATATAATATCACCAACGACAACAAATTCAATAAAAATAGATATATAATATTAGCTATCAACAACATAACATCTACAATTGAAAATAACATATCCAAAGTTAATATTATTCTATCTATCTATCTATCTATCTCTCTATCTATCTATTACAGTCTGTGCTGTTTATCTATCTATCTATCTATCTATTACAGTCTGTGCTGTTTATCTATCTATCTATCTATCTATCTATCTATCTATCTATTACAGTCTGTGCTGTTTATCTATCTATCTATCTATCTATCTATCTATCTATTACAGTCTGTGCTGTTTATCTATCTATCTATCTATCTATCTATCTATCTATCGCAGCCTCTTCATATCTATCTATCTATCTATCTATCTATCTATCTATCTATCTATCTATCTATCTATTACAGTCTGTGCTGTTTATCTATCTATCTATCTATCTATCTATCGCAGCCTCTTCATATCTATCTATCTATCTATCTATCTATCTATCTATCTATCTATCTATCACAGTCTTATCTATCTCTCTATTTCATTATCTTCATCACATTTACATATTCGCTCGATTCTGTGGTTATCTATAATATATATATATATATATATATATATATATATATATATATATATATATATATATAATAGCTAGTATAAAGATGTGACATAATGAACCAGGAAAATCTATTTTCTGGGGGAAATAAATTATAGAAGCTTAAGTTTGTCTCTTCCTTAATTATTTAATTGATATATATATATATATATATATATATATATGTGTGTGTGTGTGTGTGTGTGTGTGTGTGTGTGTGTGTGTGTGTGAGAGAGAGAGAGAGAGGTGGGGAGAGAAATTAACCGAGAGAGAGAAATTAACCAATTCACACTCAATAAAATGTATTACGAATATAGCTACAACATATTAAAGTGCGTACAACACTTATATATTAATGTCATTTTACATTTCTGCCAATTCAATGTCAACTCCTTCAAATTGAAACGTTTGTTTTGTGAAAAATTCTATTACTTCAACGGATAAATTTTAAAATTCTAAAATAACAGATAGAATTCTCAGCGCGTTTTTAAAAATCACGATGACAACGAAATGCAGATTTTATCGCAGTTACAATAAGTTTGACTTTGTAATTTACCTCTGAGGATTATCTTAGAAAAGACCGAAAGTACTTGGGTTAGAAAAAAAAAACTACGGCGCCTTACTTGATGAATTTCATCCGAATATCAATAAACTGATTAGACAACTGGAAAAGATCAGTATAAAAATAAGTAGACACAATATGTCTATATTATTCAATGAAATGTATATATCTATATATATATGTGTGTGTGTGTGCTTACGGGAATATCACTTTCAAGCACCGTTTCTCGTAAGATCACCGCAGTTAACCGAGATGGATTCATACCTTTTCTTTTGTGTGCAAGTGAATCTAATTCACAGAAATTCGATCTTGGCTCTCCATTACGTCACAATGCACACCCAACTTAAAACTTAGGTATCCATTTAATAAAATAGAAGTTCATTTTTTTAATAATAAGAATTATATGTCACTGGGGAAGGATCAGTATGTTGGAAATAACTATGTGGGGCATGGTCAAAAAGAAAGTTAGTAACTACTGCACCCACACATTTCCATTTTTTTGTATTCTCCTTTATTCTTTATACAGGGTGGGGGCAGAGCAATTTGCTTATCTGGAATATCAATTAAAACACAAGTAATGCAGGTATACATGTAATTCTTTGAACTGCAACTAGTTCAACATTTAAATTTTATTTTTTACCAGTTTTAAAGATATCAGTAAGATGGCGTCCAATTCTTCTCTATACACTGAGTCAATGTTTTGGGGTGACCTTGCTGTTCGTGGGAGGCCAGGTTTCTTTTTCTTTACATCACCCGTTTCCCTGAAGTTGTTTACCCATGAAACAATCGACTGCCGGCCATGAACACGACCACAGGGGGGCAATATTGAAATGTCTACGGAATGCACGTTGCGTTGCGACGATTGAGCGACCGCTTGAAAAAATGCCTCAACAGCGAAAAGCGCGTTCCAACTTCGTCTACTCCATGACGCTCACTGGGGTCCTGAAAAATAAACAAAAAAATAAATAACGCACGTTAAGAACCAAACTTTAATCCCCACCCTCTCAAATAAGTCTATCCCTACCATCCTTGGAGCAACCATCGCTTTAGGGCGCCAAATTTAATTAAGCAAGTTGCTCTGCCCCACCCTGTATAAAATAGATGAACGTATATCCGTATTGAAATTTAATTCATGTCCTTCTACTGCAACAAACGATGACAACTCGTCATCTATTTTGTAAAGTTTTAGTTGCCACTGCTCTAAGATGTTTTTTAATCAGTTTATCCCAAGCAAGACAATAAAGAGAGCAGTTTAGTTTGGAACGTTAAAATTAACGAGCCATTTCTTGCCCTAATTATTAAGAAAGAAACAACAAGGCAATAAAGAGAGCAGCTTAATTTGGAACGTTAAAATTAACAAGCCATTTCTTGCCCTAATTAATAAGAAAGAAACAACAAGGCAATAAAGAGAGCAGCTTAGTTTGGAACGTTAAAATTAACAAGCCATTCTTGCCCTAATTAATAAGAAAGAAACAACAAGGCAATAAAGAGAGCAGTTTAGTTTGGAACGTTAAAATTAGCAAGCCATTTCTTGCCCTAATTAATAAGAAAGAAACAACACATGTAGTCCAAAGTCATCCTAATAGCTATAGTTTGCAAAATAAGCTTCCTCATACTTCCACTACAGAAGGTACCTACATCCTTTTATTTACGAGAAGTGTGTTAGAAGAAAACGTGAGCGTAAAATCTACATCTAGCAATTTAAAATGTTTAAATAAAGACAGTATCCACAATTATCCTAACACATTCTGACACGGACACTCACGCACATCTGAGCCCATGGAGGTTAAAATCTTTTCCTATCTTTTTTTTTTACTGTTTTTTTCCACGCGAATATAAACTGAATTTGAATTTGTTAACAAACGTTGACACTTCAAAATAGAAGAAGTATTTTCAGACATCACCTGTCCAGATCTATTTAAATTGTTATCATCCGAATTAAAATTGATCAGATATTCTTACAATTTATCATTTAAAATACAGAAAACGGCAAGATAAAATTGCTTTGACTGATGATAATTTATTTTTAAAAATATCAACAAAATGTATTTGTCTTCTAAAAGTAAAACAAGAAAATCAGGTATTTGAACAAGTCAATTCACTTTATACAAGGAAAGTGCAGCTTAAGCTAAAAATTATTATTTAAATACTTATTTGGTCTCAGGGGCATTTTAAAATTCCTGTGACTACGTAACATTTTTAGATAAAACTATTTGCCAACAAGAAGAGTATACAACGTTCTTGAAGAAAAATTAGAAGTAAATTATCAAGTTATTAATGAAACTTCAGCTTGTTTTTCTTCTCCTCGCTGTGTTCTTTTAGGGCGTGGTCTATCTCGACAATTTCCTATATTTTGTAGCTCTATATCGTGTCTTTTTGCTGTCTCCCCCAACCGCTGTTCTCCGAACTAATTACAAAGGGTCGTTAGGGTAGGCTTCGAGGTGCATTTTACAGTGCCTTTTGTCATCAATCTGTCCTGTCAATGCCAAGTCCCAGCTAACATTTGTTAAATTAAAAGCATATTCCCTTATACGTAAGACATATATTAGAATTCATACTGCGATGTGATATTACGACTTCCCTTTACGCGCTCTGCTTCCAAAGCAATACCTACTTTTTGCTATGTTGATCCACAATGTCAGAGTCAGAGTTTGGTGACTGGGAAGCAAAGAATGAAACTTCCAGACAATAATCCATGACTTTATTCGCACTTTTAACGTTAACAACATGGAAGCAGAGAATGAAACATCCATGAAATTTTTTTTAACGTTAACAACATGGAAGCAGAGAATGACAATAATCCATGATTTTATTCGCTTTTTTAACGTTAACAACATGGAAGCAGAGAATGAAACTTCCAGACAATAATCCATGATTTTATTCGCTTTTTAACGTTAACAACATGGAAGCAGAGAGAATGAAACTTCCAGACAATAATCCATGATTTTATTCGCTCTTTTAACGTTAACAACATGGAAGCAGAGAATGAAACTTCCAGACAATAATCCATGATTTTATTCATGCTCCAGACAATTTGAACGTTTTAACGTTAACATGGAAGCAGAGAATGAAACTTCCAGACAATAATCCATGATTTTATTCGCTCTTTTAACGTTAACAACATGGAAGCAGAGAATGAAACTTCCAGACAATAATCCATGATTTTATTCGCTTTTTAACGTTTGGAAGCAGAGAATGAAACTTCCAGACAATAATCCATGATTTTATCTTTTAACAATTTTTAACGATTTTATTCACTGTTAACAACATGGAAGCAGAGAATGAAACTTCCAGACAATAATCCATGATTTTATTCGCTTTTGGAAGCAGAGAATGAAACGTTAACCAAACGTTAACATGGAAGAGAATGAAACGAACAATAATCCATGATTTTATTCTTTTTAACGTTAACAAATGACAATAAACGTCCAGACAATAATCCATGATTTTATTCGTTTTTTAACGTTAACAACATGAACGTCCAGAAGCAGAGAATGAAACTTCCAGACAATAATCCATGATTTTATTCGTTCTTTTAACGTTAACAACATGGAAGCAGAGAATGAAACGTCCAGACAATAATCCATGATTTTATTCGCTTTTTTAACGTTAACAACATGGAAGCAGAGAATGAAACTTCCAGACAATAATCCATGATTTTATTCGCTCTTTAAACGTTAACAACATGGAATCAGAGAATGAAACCTCCAGACAATAATCCATGATTCTATTCGCTTTTTTAACGTTAACAACATGGAAGCAGAGAATGAAACCAGACAATTTGATTTTATTCGCTCTTTTAACGTTAACAACATGGAAGAAACAGAGAATGAAAACTTCAACATGGAAGCAGACAATAATCCATGATTTTATTCGCTTTTTAACGTTAACAACATGGAAGCAGAGAATGAAACCAGAATGATTTTTTTCGTCCATCCATGAAGCAGAGAATGAAAATTTTAATCCATGATTTTTCTGCTTTTTAACGTTAACAAACATGGAAGCAGAGAATGAAACCTCTTTTTTTTAACGTTAACAACATGGAAGCAGAGAATGAAACCCCAGACAATAATCCATGATTTTATTCACTTTTTAACGTTAACAACATGGAAGCAGAGAATGAAACGACAATCCAGACAATAATCCATGATTTTATTCCATGATTTTTTTTAACGTTAACAACATGGAAGCAGAGAATGAAAATAATCCATGACAATAATCCCAGAGAATAATCCATGATTTTATTCGCTTTTTAACGTTAACAACATGGAAGCAGAGAATGAAACCCCAGACAATAATCCATGATTTTATTCGCTTTTTAACGTTAACAACATGGAAGCAGAGAATGAAACTTCCAGACAATTATCCATATTTTATCCATGATTTTATTCCATGATTTTATTCTGTTTTAACGTTAACAACATGGAAGCAGAGAATGAAACGTCCAGAAATGAAAACGTTAACAACATGAAGCAATAATCCATGAATTTTATTTATTCTCTTTTAACGTTAACAACATGGAAGCAGAGAATGAAACTTCCAGACAATAATCCATGATTTTTCGCCTTTTTAACGTTAACAACATGGAAGCAGAGAATTTTTCGCTTTTTAACGTTAACAACATGGAAGCAGAGAATGAAACGTCCAGACAATAATCCATGATTTTATTCGCTTTTTAACGTTAACAACATGGAAGCAGAGAATGAAAATTCCAGACAATAATCCATGATTTTATTCAATTTTTAACGTTAACAACATGGAATCAGAGAATGAAACGTCCAGACAATAATCCATGATTTTATTCGCTTTTTAACGTTAACAACATGGAAGCAGAGAATGAAACTTCCAGACAATAATCCATGATTTTATTCACTGTTTTAACGTTAACAACATTTAAACGTTAATGATTTTATTCGCTTTTTAACGTTAAAACAGAAGCAGAGAAATGAAACTTCCAGACAATAATCCATGATTTTATTCGCTCTTTAACGTTAACAACATGGAAGCAGAGAATGAAACTTCCAGACAATAATCCATGATTTTATTCGTTTTAACGTTTAACGAAGCAGAGAATAAACTTGGAGACAATAATCCAGATTTTATTCGTTCTTTAACGTTAAACGTCCAGAGAATAATCCAGAGAATAATCATGATTTTATTCGCTCTTTTAACGTTAACAACATGGAAGCAGAGAATGAAACGTCCAGACAATAATCCATGATTTTATTCGCTTTTTTAACGTTAACAACATGGAATCAGAGAATGAAACGTCCAGACAATAATCCATGATTTTATTCGCTTTTTAACGTTAACAACATGGAAGCAGAGAATGAAACTTCCAGACAATAATCCATGATTTTTTCGTTTTTTTAACGTTAACAATATGGAAGAAACAGAAATGAAACTATTCGCCAGAACGTTAAATAATCCATGATTTTATTCGCTCGTTAACAACATGGAAGCAGAGAATGAAACGTCCAGACAATAATCCATGATTTTATTCAATTTTTAACGTTAACAACATGGAAGCAGAGAATGAAACGTCCAGACAATAATCCATGATTTTATTCGCTGTTTTAACGTTAACAACATGGAAGCAGAGAAAGAAACGTCCAGACAATAATCCATGATTTTATTCGCTCTTTTAACGTTAACAACATGGAAGCAGAGAATGAAACTTCCAGACAATAATCCATGATTTTATTCGCTTTTTTAACGTTAACAACATGGAAGCAGAGAATGAAACGTCCAGACAATAATCCATGATTTTATTCGCTTTTTAACGTTAACAACATGGAAGCAG